ATGTGATCTGCAAACATCAATCATGATTGTTTTTAGTCAACAGTGATTCTATGAAATATACAACACTTGATGTTGCACTTTATTAATGGTTCTAACTACAGTGATAAAAATATATTTTTCTCTGATATCCTACAGATGCTTATACAACCTCAGAGGTCACTTACATTTGGACTTACAATGCATCTGATTCAGTACAAGTTGCTCCTGATGGATCCAGGTTAAATCAATATGATCTGTTGGGCCAATCAATTGGGAAGGAGACAATTAAATCCAGTACAGGTTAGTAAAATGAGTCTAAAAATAAAAGATAGTTTCTAAGAAAATTAATCAGTTCAAGTCCCTAGAAATATACCAGTTTGCTTAAAACCTTTTGCTGTTTGGTACAAGAACCAGCAGCATAGACAATGTTTGGGAGCTTTTTATAAATTCAAAATCTCAGGCTTGACCCCTTACTAAGTTAGGATCTGCATTTTAAAACGATTCCAAGGAGATTCCAAGGTGTGTATTAGAGTTTCAGAAATGGTACTCGAAAACATACTTCATATTCAGAAAGTGTGCCTCCTCTGACAAGTCCACTTTACCTTCAAACAGTGTTACACTTTTCCTAGTTTTTGAATTCTTATCCCCCTATTTGGATAACAAGATTATTCAACTCTTTGTTTTTAAGAGTGCTTTTGTCAGATTTTTAAAATTTTATTGAATTTATTGGGGTGACATTGGTTAAAATTATATAGGTTTCAAGTGTACAATTTTATAACACATCATCTGTATAATGCATTGGTACCTATTCAACTCTCAGTTTATGGATAAANATTCTGATTCACAGTTTACATATATTTGAAGAGAGCTCCTCTGAACTAATATTGAATTCTCATATCAATTTTGCTATATGGTTGTTGAGATGATGGAAGAAAATTACGTTCTTTTCATTAGTTTTTTTTTTCATTTTTTTCTCTAATATTATAAATATTAATAGAGGTTAATGGGAAAATAGCTCTTCAAAAATGCATATATTACTTCTTTACTTTTTAATAAACCATAGAGTATAAAACAGTTAAGTATATTTATAAATAAATATTGCTGTTATTTGAGCTCAGATTTTATATATGCTAATGCTTCCTGAAGGATCATCTAAATGTGAAAGAACAAAAACATATTTAAATGGGAATTAGCCTAATATGATGCTGTAATGAAGGCCCTACCTCATCATTAATTCTGTTGACAACAGTAAGGAGTGATTTATCTTGACTTGCCAATTTACTTAAACAAAGAGTGGACTTTTGACTTTTAGGCTTACAGTTCAAGCTGAATGTCCAATGCACTTGGAGGATTTTCCAATGGATGCTCATTCATGTCCTCTGAAATTTGGCAGCTGTAAGTATGGGGATGAAGCTAACATGTTTCGGGTCAATAGTACCAAGGATAGTCAGCAGCACTGCTTAACTGTATAGTTTCTTCTCATATTATGGAATGCTTACTACTTGCCCAATAAGATACAGAAGTAAAAGACATGCTGACTTTCCTTACAAAACTAATTGGCTAACCTTATTTTAGTTTCAGATATCATTATATTTTATTAATGGTGTTTAAATTATCACTCCCCTTTTTGCTAATAAAAAACATCATGTGTTTTTGTAAATGTGTAAAACTAGACCAGGAGATCCTTGAAGGTCAGGACTACGTAATTTAGCTTATTTGCCAAATGCTAGCACATTAAAAATGCGAACTGTTTCATTTTTGTCAACTAAGATTTCACTGTAAAGGATAGATTCTATTGTTTATTATTAAGTGCTATCAGCCTGTTGCAAATGGCAGTCACAGAAGCTATATCTGTGCAATTATCTTTCTACTTTCTAACTAATGGAAGGTTTTTTGTTTTTTTTTTTTATTTCCTAAAATAAATTTGAGGGACATGGTGTAGCTGGATTGCTACATGCAGGCACCTTCTGCATACATAGAATATTCCCAAAATGGCTCTGTGCATTTGGCCATCTTTAGGTCACAGAGGTTATATCTTGTGTGTCAAGCAGAAACATTCGCTCTCCCAGAAGAATTGAAAAGAGGGAAGGTCGAATCATCTCCGTAGGTCCGCAAGGCATTCAGGACAGGCTCAGGATAAATTCATGGACATTGCTACGCAGTTCTTTCTTCTGTGAGCGTGTCCCATTGCCTGACCTTTTCAGAAACCTTGCTCTTTCTGGCACTCCCATCTTTGTCCATTTTGAGCAGCTTTTGACTTTTCCTTGTCTTGAATAGAAATGTAGTTCTCTAACCGGATTAAAGACATTTCTGTTGGAGTAGTGTGCCTTCTCCCCACAGACTGTATTGAGTGAGAGAAAAGGGAAGAATGATAGCTAATGTGCATGCAAAACCCTCTAATTATTTTGATGACCATAGTTTTGTGGAATGAAAAGTTCAACCTTGTTTGTTCTGTTCATTCTTACAAAAAGGTGTCAGCTCTCAATTTTCTTGTAGAATCTCTCCTTTGTTTAACTACAAAGCCCTTTTTTATTGTCATGGAAACCACCGTTTCAATGCTGGCAATTTCATCCAAAATTATTTAAGATAGTCAATCATGTTATACAACATAAATATGATGCTGAAAAAACTACAGCAGATGCGGCAGAGAAAAACTCTTTCACATTGCATAAGTGATATTAAGGAAAAAAATTTTAAAAGCCTTGATACCAAAGAAAGGATTTATTCATGCCAAGGATTTATTCATGATAATGATGTAAGAAGAAAAGGCATTTTTCAAAGGACAAATTAGTGCTATTAAGACACCATATATAAACAATGTGCTGTCTCAATACTGAATATAAAATAAATCCACCTGAAATTATTTTAAATAAAATTTAAAAATTCTTAACAGTGTGTCTACAGAGTAGTGGAATATTGCATGCTTGAGAATATGGTTGCCTATCTACAGATGATATGGGCAACACATAAAGTTTGTTGTTAATCATTCTGTTCTTTATTTAATTTTCTTCATTTTTCTTGACACATTAACAATTTATACATTCCTTTATTAATCCTTGACAACAGTGGGTGCTTGATGTATAAGTCTTAAAAGTATGAACACCATCATGGAGTACTAGACTAACAAGCTAACCCAAACCTTAAGATGTTGGCACAACAAATTTTGACAGAAGCAGCCGTGACTTTTTCTCTAGTCATTTATTTCTGTCTTAGTTAAAAAACCGTCATTTCCCCCCAAATGATGGAATTTCTGGAACTTTGTCATTGTCCTGAAATAAAAGAAGCATCTTTTCTATAAGTTCATAATTTTGAATTGTTTTGTTTTATTCCTATGGCCTCATGTTTTTATATATTTCCTAGCTGTTTAATTTGATTTAAAACTTATTGAATGGAAGTCTAGGCATATTCTGTGCAGCAACCCAAAATAAATGGAAAGCTGTCTTTTTGCATAAAAATTAATAATTAAAAATATTTTGGAATTTTTTTTGATTACCAAATATGAAAAATCAGTCAGTAAGCTTTTAATGTTTAATGCAGAACAGTACTAAAAATAGATCATTTGGCAGAATTAGAATTATATAATGAAAACCTAATTTAGAGATGGAATTTATAATGAAACTTACAAAACAAACTGTCTTTCTCTTCTTTTGTACTTTACTGAGATCCATTGCCATGGCCTCCTGGTTTGTATGTGTGCTAGTGTACTAGGGAGTGCCTCTGATCCTCCTTGCTTCACTTATATCTACTATATCTGCTATCTCCAGACTCCAAATCTAAAGAAACATATTCCTCTATAAATAATAAAATGGAATAACTGTTTTTTTATAAAAGGCATTTGGGAAGGGTCATTTTCTTTAACATACCATTGGGCTCCTACCCAGATGTCCATCCTCTATAACAGTAAATATCATAAAATATTATTAGATTATTCATTAATCTGGCAAGAATGGCTTAAGAACTTTTTTGTGTGTGTCAGGCTTTGTACCAGGTACTAAAAGTATAAACATGAATCAAACAGAGTCCCTGCTGATCAGTGCCTCACTAGTTTTTTAAAATGTCATCACATTTGTAGGGTTTCATTTTACCTTATTTATATTTAAAAGTAACATCAGAATCAAAAATGGTATTGCAATTACTTTAAAAAATATAATTTATTAGGATTCATAACTATTTGAGTATTGTAAGGCCTTCTGCTGTAAAGTGATACATGTGATATGTCTTTAATTTGTCAAACTGTGCCATTTGAAATTTTATTGAAAAGACGGCCATGATTTGTATTCATGGGAGAAAAAAAACAAGCCGCTTGATTTGCAAATAAANTATGAATATTTTAAAATATATTTTAACCTGAGGGAGTTTATTTGAAAAATATTTGTATTTTAAGTATTCTAATAACTTGTCCAAGTCTTCCTATTGCAACTCACTTCACAAAATAAACTATTAAAATCATCATCATCCCCCAATACATTCTTGCTAACAATATATCTCACCTTTTTTTTTTTTTTTTTTATTTAAAAAATGAGACATTCTACAGTTTCTTTGGCAACAGGAGATGATGAGTCATACAGATCTGACAGTGTGTTTAATAGTTGTTTTTTTTCCTTTTTTTTTTTTTTTTGCTACTGAGAAGGCTGCCTGCTCATGCTTTCTTGAGATAAATGACTTAAAACAATCCACCCAAACACTGCCCCAACCATACCCCCCTCCAAGTAGTTCTAGACTATAGAATACAGTAAAGCAGTTTGAAACCTTGTTCAACTGAAAGAGACCAGATAAAGTAAATTTATTCTTTTCCTCTCATAATAATATGTAGTTAATTGTGTACATACACATACTTTTTATCCCATTGTAAGTGGCAACATTTACTGATAAGAGGAAGGAATGATCTTTCTGATTCAAAATTTACTTCTCGCTATATAGTTTTCTCACTTGTAAAAGATTTATAGTATTTTGTTGGAGTTTTGCAATCCTTCTACCTAAAACATTCATTATTTTTAAAAGAATGCTACTTTGTATTTCAGGAATATACAATAGATGTTTTCTTTCGACAAAAGTGGAAAGATGAACGGTTAAAATTTAAAGGTCCTATGAACATCCTTCGACTTAACAACTTAATGGCTAGCAAAATTTGGACTCCAGACACCTTCTTTCACAATGGGAAAAAATCGGTAGCTCATAATATGACAATGCCAAATAAGCTTCTTCGAATCCAAGATGATGGCACTCTGCTATACACAATGAGGTATGATTTTAGGATTCGTATGTTGCATTGAAATACTGACAAATCCATGTATTAAAAAACTGATCAACCTATTTGTCAAGTATTAGCACAAGTTGAAGATTTTCTTAACAGATTATTGAAGTATCCATAATATGAATTGTAAATGCTTGCATATTTAAAAATAAGCATGAAATACTATTTATAAGCTTGATTCTCATTTTAATGTGTTAAAAATTTAAGAATTGCCTTAATTATTAAAAATTGATATTTTTGGCTGTTTTTCACACTACATTTTAACTAAGAACAGTTTCATAGCATGACAAACTTTTCTTTATACCAGCTTGTGGTTTTATTTTTAATATCTCATCAGATAGCCTATCAAACAGTTAAATGATTTTTAAGCAAGTTGTCATTTAATATTGTGATCCTCCCTATGAAATTACTCTAAACAAAAAAATATAAATTTAAAAATATTCATAGGTAGTTTTTAATTAATGAGGCTTATAAATAGGTTGGATACTATAAGCATATGTATTAGATTGAACCATGTGAAATTGCCTTTTTGTAAATTAAAAACTGTCATATAGCATCAATTTCATATTATTCAGTTTTAAAAAAATATCTCAAGGGATATACGATTGTTGATACTACTGTTCCATTTTAACTATTTCCATGAATCAATCTTTAAAAATAAGTTGCTTCTATTATGTAATAATGAGAACCATGACAAATCTAATAAAGTGATGTATAATCTAAACTTAAAATGTTTAATAAATTCTTTAAATTTAAAGCATGGATAACTTTCATCATCAGATGTGTATTACAGGCATTTCATGTAATGTCATTTCATATAAAATGTAAAGTGGTAGATTTCAATTGTGAGAATTATTTAAGAAGGAGCAATAATATAGTCCTGATCTTTAAAGAAAAAATTTCTTGAGGGCTCATTGCTAAATGACCATTGCCTAAAATGGAAGTGTTAGCTACTTATTTTGCCTCTCTCTCTGAAACTTTCAATTCAGAGGCAGTACCTCTGTACTTTGATCATTCCTATGGATTAAGAAAGTGATTAAAATTTTGGGTTTTAAACAAAATATAGTCAGATAACACACCGAGTTTTGGAAATTATTTCATGAGGTTCTACTTAAATACTCTCTTAGAAGTATGCAAGATATAGTTAAATTGTTGTCCACAATTACTTTGCTCATTATGAGATTCTTCTATAAGTTTGATTTAGTACCTGTTTCATCCACTTTATTTTTGTGTGAAATGTACTACCTGATGACAGCTTTTTTATAACAAATTTGCTATGGTTACTCTTTATCGTGATGATGTAGATACATAAAAATATTTAGTTAACCTTCATAACTTGTGTCCATAATTTAGCCAACAGACTAGTCTCAACAAGATATTTTCAGGAGATGCATCTATCTATATCT